CCTCACGCTCAAACCACAGGCGAGCAACTGCTCTTGGTGCCACCGCAAGAACGCTCCGCAGCCGAGACGCCCGGCCGCACGAGCCTCCCCCCTTCAACCCACAGAGCCTTGAGCACGCTGCCAAGAGCAGGAGTCGCTTCTTAACCACCGAGGGCCAGAATGGAGACCCCGGCGGGGATGGTGCCCCTCCCGGCCACGCACTGCTTCGTACCTCGCGAATTTTCTCGTGACCAGGTGAAAAACGAGCGCTGTGCCTACCTGTACCAACTGCCCCAATGCTCACGCCCAAGTAAGAACGTAAAGCTGCTTATTAATGTATTTTCTCTGCAGCTGCTTGACATACCCATTATATGAAAAAGATAATTAATTCCCCCATCTTTCCGGCGTGAGCAGAACACAGGCAGGCTGCGCAGCCGAAGCCTGGCTCGCTGCAACACGCAGCCGCGTTCACCACCCCTCTGCCAGGCTGCCGCTTTCGGGGAGAGCTCGGTCTGCAGGGCCTGAAATTCCTTCGGAGAGACGGACACCGTGCTGCCTGTGCACGGTTCCGGATACTCGGGCTGCAGACGTGGGCTCAGACCTGCCGGTCTCCACGAGCCGCTCGAGCCACACGAGCAACGGGAAGCGCCCAGCGTCGGGGCCAGACCAACCACCCTGCTGCCCCCAGACCCAGCCCAGCAGCCAGCCCCAGGGCAGGGGGGCAGAAATCAGCTCCTCGTCGCCCGAGCAGCGATCCTGGGCGCAGCGAGGAGCCTGCACAGCACGGGCATCCCCGACTCCCGTCTCCATTTTACAGGCAAGGACGGCTGCAGTCGGGTTCATCTCCTGCACATGGGGTCCAGGCCCTTTGCTCCCAGCAAGCTGCCGGTGCGGGCTGAGAGCGGGTACCCTCCTGCGAGGGTGAGAGGTTCACCTGCACCGCAGCGGACGGTTCCCTGCCTCTGGGTGTAAGTCTCCATCAAGGAGTGAAAAATTCCGACCACAAAATTCCAAATGTAAGGATTTATCGTAAGGATTCCTCATTTTCACACACGCGTACGCAAAAATGCACACACACAGAGCTCCAATTGCAGCGGCATTTTACCCACTGTAATTATTAGTTATGAAAATAATGAGCTATGAAATTCCAATTTATTGTTGACAACTTTAATGACAAAGCTCTGGAGCCTCGCTCTTAGCTCTATCGTGCCAACGCACCTCACAGTAAATCTGTCCAAAGTACCAACAGTAAAACCGCCAGACATTTGCCCGGCAGGTGAAGAAACTGCCCCTTCCTCACCGACGGGGGTTGGTGGGAAGCCCACCG